GAGTCCTTGTCCCTCGAAGAATCTTCGGCTAAGGGAGAGGGCAGCCAGGTGACCACAGCGGAGGCTTGCGGGGTTGGTTCCTTAGACCTGACTAACCCCTTCCCTTTATCCTTCTTTCCCGCCTTAGAGGACGCGTCAGTGGCCGCTCTCTTAGGTCCAGAAGTTTTCTTAGGGGGCTTAGTTAAGGGTACATCCGTGGACTTTGGAGCAGGAGGTTGGGGTGCGGGGCCCTCAGAAAGGGAGGTGGAGGAGGAGGCCGGTAGCTCCATAGAAGTTGGTGTTGAGGCCGACAAGGCGGAATTCCAGAGGTGGAGTTTGAGCCTCTGTTGCCGCGCTTTGAGAGCTGCTTTCGTAAAAGCTTGGCAATGGGGCAGTTTTGGGGAGAATGGGATTCCCCTAAACAAAAAAGGCACGTGTCATGACCGTCCTGGAAGGGGATCTTAGCAGAGCACACGACACAGCAACTAAAGGGTCCCGATGGCGGAGGAGGCATAGGCCTCAAAGGGTACAGGAGCCGGTAAAAAGGGCGGGAAACGGAACGAACTCACTGCGCTAAGTGCGGAGAAGCCAAAGCGACAAAGCCAAAACCGCAGACCAAGGCAAAGTCCATAAACAGTCCAAGATCGAAAAATCCGTAAAATATTAGCAGAAATAGTAAATAAAGCAAGAGCTCAGCCGAGAGGAACCACTTCGCACGGCGGAGAAATGGAACTGAGCGTTGAGTGGGCGGAGCATGCGCAGTGTAGGTAATCCTAACAATGTTTCATTTTACAGAGCGCTGACTTAATCCTTTATTGTGTGCATTCACAGAAGACCACGCAGAAGAATAATTATTATTCCTACCCAGAGCAAGCACGTTCCTAGGATTCTTAGGAGAATGTGCCTCTTCTTTCAAACTACTTCATGTCATTTTAATTACAACACAATCCTTCATTTCAAACAATGTTATCCATTCAGACATCTTTGAGAAACCCAAAATAATAATTGTCCTAGATGTGGTTAAAGAACTGAGTATTCCTTCCATTTCTGTGTTATAGCTGTCATCTGTTTCTACAGTGGGTGATAATACATTTCACCAATGAACTCTTACATCCATCTGTGAGAGTTCTCTTTTGGGTTCAGGGATTTGCACTGGTTCCCAGCTTCAGATCATTTATCAAATACCTTGTCTCAACTTTTAAACATTCAACATTTATTTCCGGAACATCTAAGAAACCATTAACATCCAACAACTCTTCTTAGCCCAGTGGGGTACAGAAGGGATTCTCTCATGAACCAAGAAAGGGTTTTTTTTTTTAAATAGTCCTATTGTCCACAAATATCCATGGGGCCCCACACTCTAGCTTCCTTTTCTCTCCAAGAGAATGGCTTCTTCCCGAGGTACCATACGTCTTTCCAATTTATTGGTCCATGAGTTCTTGAGCCAAAATCTACCAGGTGGAAGAATCTTCTCTCTCTGTTTTCCCCTCAGCCTCTCCAAGCTTTGATTACCACCTGAAACCTCCTCTTTATATCTCACCTCTCTCTCTCCTGCTTCCTCCCTTTTTCTTCTTCTTTCTTCTTCCTTTCTTCTCCTTCCCCCTTTCTCAGATCAGCCAAATCCCTTCCTTTTACAGTAACTTCCTGCTCTTTCTAACTATTCTGTTACATCTCTCACTACCTCTCCTCCTCTTTCTGGCTCTTTTCCTTTCTCCATTGTTCCTCCAACAGGTGTTATCTCCTTTCTCGTTATTCTATCTGTGTCTTACTTTCTATGTTCCTTTCCCTTCTCTCTGGCAGAATGGATGATGCTCGGGTGAGAATGGCTTCAGCTCCACCTCTTGCCTCACATCACATATTTACAAAGCCAATAAAGACTGAAAAAGGCGAAGACTAACAACTTCTTGCTTCATTCCATTTATGGAATGAAGGCAGCTTTCCAAGTTAAAATAACTTGTAGGATATTAAACAGCACAAATCACAAGCACCAAGAGTATTTTAATTGCAGGCACAAATGCTTTTCATTTGCTTTATACTAAGTTAATGTCTTCTAATTTCTTGGTGAAGAGTGAACGTTATTAAAAGTATAAGTTTTCTCTTGATATTTCAAATGCTGTAAATGTACCTGAATTATAATTCTGTTTGACCAGTCCTAATAAACATCATGTATTTTTATGAACTCTCCAGAAGTAGTCCCTTCCATTGTAAACAAATTTCTCTTTTTGTTAGACATCAAATGCCTTGAGACCAATATAGCCCAGAGCAATGATTTTCTTTTTCATAATAGCTGCTGCAGTTTGCGAAGTAGTAAGAGATGCATTCGTCTATTCATTCAAAAACTGACAGGCAGGCAAAGACCAGGCATTTTGGAAAATATAAACAAAGAAACCAGACAGTTAATTACTGTTATTGGTTAAATCCTGTCTTAGTTTTTCCTTTGCTTAGTCCAGTGCCATGCTTGGTTATAGCCAAGAAGTGTATATGCACATGGGGTTCTTACAACTATCTGAATATAACAAACATTAAAATGATGAAACGTTATTACCATTTTTCACAGAAGGCAATGACTGAAGTCTTGTAGACACATTTAAGTTGTTCAGAAAGGACAGCCTACTATTAACTGTTTTACTCCAAGAGATATGAGCATCTTTGCTGTAGCTGAAGAAATTCATCTATTAGCACCATAACTGCATAAAACCACCTGAAGTAACATGGCAACACAACTGTCACAATTATTATTGGACAATGGAGCCTTCCCCACTGCACCAGCTGTGGGATAATGGGAGTTGCAGTCTGTAGCGGGATGCCAAAAGGTAATGTCATTCCTGCCTGTCCATCACAGGAGCTCAAGGGGGAGGAGCCAAGGAGAGAGCAGGAGGGGCGGAGCCAGAGAGACAGTTAGAGAGTTGGGGAGACAGTTAGCCAGTTAAGAGAGAGTTAGGGACAGTTGGAGATGTGGAATGAGAGTTAGGGTTTAGGAGAATGAAGGAGAGGGTTAGTGAATTGAGAGATATTGATTGAAAGCAAGAGAGATATTGATTGACAACAAACATGATCCAATACGTATTAACACCTGAAACAGTTCATATGTGATTTAGCTTTTGATTTGTTTGACAATAAAAGAATATTTAATTAAAACTATGCTTCCTAAGTTCTATAACCCTTAGTGTTGGCAGCACTTGTGACATAAGTTGGTATTTGGAGAATACCTGGTGGCAGCGTGAAGGGCTTGTACCTTTGTGAGGGCCAAATAAATAGGGGCAACAAAAGGGTAGATCGCCACACAGTCCAACACATATGGAGGGCATCAACTTAGAGAAGTCTGGCAGATAAAAAACAGCTATAAACGCAAATGCACATAAGAATGCTTCTTTATTCCACTAGAGTACTGAACCACACTGGCTTGCAGATTACAATTACTTCCACCCCCAAATAACTGTAGGAATGTCCCTCCCTATATTAGCCTACCCATAATTTAAGATAATGAGGAGACACTCTTCTCTAAATACCTCTGAAAACCTATTCACCAATAATAGAGCCAGCCTTCTTATTGTAGAACAAAACTATGGAATGTCTTTCTCACACCAATGCAAATGACACTGCAATCCATATAGGAAGCATACCACCTTAACCTCTGATATACATAATGTTGAGTAGCTCCACGAGCTGACAATGTATCTGTATTTCTTTAGAAGACAGTAAGAAAACTGCCTTACAATACAGATTCTAATTCAGGAAAGCCTGCAAGAACTCTTTTATCATCTAAGCCACTGGTTCCCAAACTTGTGTAATCCAGGTCTTCTTAGACTGCAATTCCCAGAAACCCTAGCCAGCACAGCTGGTGGTGAAGGCTTCTGGGCATTGCAGTCCAAGAACACTTGGGTTACACAAGGTTGGGAAGCACTACGTAATTTAAGCCACACATCACTGAGAATTGCCTCAGGGAAATAAACCATTCACTTGTCACTGGGTTTTCCTCTCCCCAGAACAAAGTACCTGTACTTGGTAAATCATGTTCAATAATCTCTTCTTATCCTGTTTTCAGGGTACAAAACTATCAATTCTTGACACTACCGTGGTTCTTTTAAATACATACAGCCTATGTATTTAGCAGGTCAAATATATTTTCCTGCCCCACATCAGTCTTCTTTTGTCTCATTATCCGAGGTTCCTGTAAAATCTCCTTGAACACTTTGTCTTCCAAATTTTCATCATATATGTAGATTTCCTGTGAGTAATTTGTAACAAGTGAGACTGAATCAGAACAAGAACTGAGCTCCTATGATTATGCTTAAGATTGAAGGCTCAATCCATTTTCAGAACCACCCTGATTTAAAAGATTGACAAATATGGAAGAATATCCAACTTTTAAACTAGAAAATAAGAAAGTTGTGTCAGAGTTTAAACCAATATACAGCAGAAACAAAGAATACTGGAATGTGAACACCTGCTGCAGAACACTCCAGCTGCAGAACATTGTAAACAACAGTAAAACACACTGTACAAGACCAGTCTTATGTACAGTAAACCTAGTGAAATGAATGAGACTTGTTTGTCCCATTGATCTCAGTGAATATGCTGCACATAATGTTGCAAGTTACTGGATGCTGTGTCAATGGCCAAAATCTTACTGGTTAGTTACACTGATGTAAGTAACAGCAATGAATTGTTGCTAGTTAACAAACTGCTGCATATATCCCTACCATGCACCAGTTCACATGAATGGGCATAGAAAAGGGAATATAAGTAGCGAAGAGTTAACGAGCTGTATTTCACTGCTGTAGTTTATGCCATTCTATTTACACTGGCATAAACAATCAACAGGATTGTGGTCACTGTTTTCTAACAGATGTTGTAATTAAAAGGCAATGACAACACAAAGATTACTGTTGTATCTAAAAATGCTAACAGTATTTAACAAGAAGCACAGTGATCCACAAGATGAATATTTTGCACTGTTATTCATCTTCCTTAGAACACAAATATAATCCAAACTATTCTTATACACTTAAAGCACTTACTAAGTCTCTGTGAAGTACCCAATTTGCATGGAGATAATGAATTCCATCAAGAATCTGATACAGAAGAGATTTGACCATGGATCTTGGCAGCTGCATGGGTTTTTTGTTTGCTTTTGAGGCACGGTGGAACTTGATAATATGCTGGAAATAAAAAGAGCACAAATATGAAAGTTATCTTGTCAAAATAAAAATTTTATTCACTGACATTATAAAAAATAAAAGCCCTGTATTGTTTTAAAATCTAAAATAACAGATACATACTTTTTAAAAATGTGGTTTTATACCTAATGTTTCAGAAAACAAAACATGGAATTTGAGCTTTTAAATAGCTGGCTGTGAAGTTTCTTCAGGTAAAATGGATTTCATATGCAGATTTGCACCTTGCTGACATATTTCAAATTTCCATGCAGCTCTCCCACAGGTTTAAAGAAATTCCATTATAAATTAGATGCTTTTAAAATTTCTGCTAAAAAGTAATGGGCCCTGGAGATCTGTGTCAAAAAATTCCAAGGACTGCAACTAAAACAATTTATGCAAACTCAACAAATTTGCGTTTTGCTGTCATTATGTACTGAGGGTGAGAAATTGCATATTTGTAATTCATTTCTTGGTACACTGATTACAGACAGAAAAGCTGAGCTGGATGGGAAAAAATAGCAAGAGTGAATAGTTGGGTAAAACTGAGATTTGTGACAGATGAAATAATCTCACCCTCAGATTAATTCAAACATTCCACAACTTCCTAGGGATTTGACAAAAATGCATTTACTAGAATTCTAAAGGCCTCCTCTAAAATTAAACTTTATTTTCTCTGAAAGGTATTTTTTCTTAGATAGTATCTCCTATTCAAAAGAGCTCCTCTCCCTCTCCTTGATCCCCTAATCATCATCATCATAAAACTGCACAGCTGAAAGAAACCCTATGGATCTACGAGTATGATTTGCCCTGAAACATACAGGATATTAAGGAACAGAGAGTGATCATATGTAAAATGCTTTTTCCTTCTTATAGAATGTATAGGAGAAACTTTCTGCAAATATTTTCACAGCAGGAATAGACAGAGCTTAAAATGTATTCTTGAATTAATGTATTCTCAGAGACTGGCAAAACATTAGGAAGAAAAACCTCCAGAAAACAGCCAAACAGCCTGAAAAACCTACAACAACCAAGAGCTTAGAATGTTTTTTTTGGGGGGGGGGTTGGTTGGTTTTTGGACTGCAACTCTCAGAATCTCCCAGCCAACAGGGACAACATTTCTAAGTTCAGGGTGAGTGTCAGTAATGCTCACTCAATCCCTTTCTTTCTCTGACATCCAGCATCAGTGTTCCTTCCTTTTATCATCTTCAATCATAACTACAATTAACATTTGTACTGCAGATAACCATCCTTCCCTCCTATCCACATTTTGCAAAAGCATTTCAAATCCCAGTTAAGAAAGTGACATGATTCCCCACTGAAAGAGATATATGTGGAAGACACTGTAATGAGAAGATAGGAACTGTTCACAGTGCATCGTCACATAACACTATAGGTGTACCTCGGTTTACGAAATTAATGCATCCTCCAGGACATTACATCATGCAGAAATTTTGTAAACCGATACATGGAATGCGCTAGGAAAGGAGGCGGCACTAGAAACCTCCAAGCGCAATGCATCCTGGGGGAAACCCTTTCATACAGCGGGGGGGGGGGAGAAAAAGAACGTAAACCGGGCAATTATTTATTATGGTATGGATTTTGGCTTGTAAACCAAAAATTATGTAAACCGAGGCTTTTGCAAAGCGAGGCGCTGTTGTATTATCCTTGTATGCTGAAGGCACAACACTGCTATTCAGAGGGACCAGACCTGAACTTTTCATCTCATCAAAGCTGGGGGAACAGGATATGATCACGCAAACAAACAAAACACCAAACAAACAAGTACTGAGAAATGATAGAAAACAGTATTTAAAATTGTGAATGCTGCTAATTATGTTTTTCTCCATTTCTGTTGGTATGCAGTCACCATAAAGCTAAACAAACCCACCAATGTATGTGAACACAGAAATTGCATGTCTTAAAAATCACTTAATGAGTAAATGCATAAGCTCTTTCTTTTAAAAAGTGTTATTTTAAAAATGTATTGTCTCCATATCAATTTAAAAATTAGATGAAATGTATTATTTAAAACTAAATGTAGAGGAATTGATGAACATTAGAAGTAGCAGACTGGCAAACCAAATATTCAGCCCTCCACTCCTAAGCTCCTCCTGGCACCTTTCCTCTCACAGTCTGACAATCATGATATGCCCTACCATTTCTATTCCCCCTCTTTTATATCTCCCCACTTTCACAAAGTCCTAAGAGAAGGGACTTGTTTTTCTCTTTCTTATTCAGTAAAATACCATAAACAATGATGAAAACCAACAATGCAACTATACTGATACGGCAATAGCTGAAACTAGCGGCATCACAGACCTGACATTTAATCAGCCAGCTAATATTTTTTGCAAGCAGAAAACTTGTTATTCACAATTAAAAATTATGTTTCCTGATTGCCAGCTATGGTTTTCATAATCTATACTGTAGTGCCTAGCACAATGGCAACCATTACTCCAGAACAGCTGAATACTCACATGACTTTTCTGTAACTCCACCATTAAGAGACTGGCTATTAAAGCCATGATTTTACATTTTGAAAACTTCACTGCTATCACCCAACATATTATTCAATCAATCTTGGCAGAAGACCTGCTTTATTTTGCAGGACAACAGCATTTAAACAAAGTGAGAAATTTCGAATTTACTAGTCATGGCTCTTTCTAATCTTTATGTACCCCATTCCTCTCAACCACCTTCTCTTGTCTTGGCCATAATCACTTTTGGAAGTGACTATTTTTGGAAGTCCTGCCAGTACAACAGAGATATATATTGTACTGTATTATTATTATCCCCCACCATGTAGAGACTAATGATTGATTTTCAAGATCATCAAACATCAAAGACCAAATTTTTTAGTAACATAGGGATTTATCTAATTCTGCCCCTTCACTGATAGAGAGATCTGATTTAACAAAGGATTCTATTAGCAGAACGGTGACTGAAATTATCTTTACTGATTCTCTCTCTCCGCTGCAGCCCTCTGCTGCTCATTCAGTCTGCTCCAGAGTTGGGATGGCCATGTGAGGTTACAGGGGAGCAAAGAATTAGTGAAAATTGCCTGCTTCTCCATTCTGCTGGATCAAAGATCATTCCATTGGAGGAAAGAAACCACTAGATACATAGTATGACTGCAACCTTGCCATTAAATAGAGAAAAGATCCAGTTTAATTTAAGGGAACCATTTTACTCAGTTTATCCTACTTGGAACTGCAGTTAACAAAGTAAATTAAATTCATCATGTTTACCACTAGAGATGGGCATGAATCAGAAAAAAAAATGTGATTCACTGATTCATGATTTGTCACAGTTAATGAATCATAAATTATGCATTTGATTTTTTTTCTGATGAATCAATTCATGAACTCAAGTTTTACTTAAAAACCCTAAAGGATACCCTCCCAATAACCCAGAGACACCAAATTCACAGGAAAGCTTCCTCTGACTCTCCTCTACAAGCTCTGTTATGTTTGGCGAAGATTGGGTTTCAGACATCTGAGTTATATACCTACAAGGAGGCCCCACCCTAAGAAAGTTTTCCCCAGGCACCTAAAAATCACAGAAAAGCTTCTATTGACTTTCCTCTACAATCCCTCCATGTTTGGTGAAGATTGGATTTCAGACATCCACGTTATACACCCTTAAAGTGGTTCTCCACTCTCCTTTAGCAGCTGGCTTGGGGAAACCCAATCTTCACCAAACTTGGAGGGATTGTAGAGGAGAGTCATAGGAAGCTTCTCTATGATTTTAGTGTCTCTAGGTGCCCGGGAGTAATTTTCCAGGGGCCCCCTTCTTTCTGGGTGTATAATTGAGACACCTGAAACCCAATCATCACCAAACATGGAGGGACTGTAGACAAGAGTCAGTGGAAGAGTCAAAGTCTCTAAGTGCCTTGAGGGCTGTTTTATAGCCAAATTAATCAATGAATCAAAAATCACTAAAAATTTGTTGATCCATGATTCATCGGGGGCACTAATTCATATGAATATGAATCAATGAATTAGTGATTTTTGAATGGATTTGGCAATTAATTGTAAAATTCATGCCCAACTCTATTTACCACTGCTTCTGATATACTCTATATTTATTTTATAACATTTTATTAAACACATGAGAAATTTAAAAAGCTAACATGGTTCTCCTACAGATACTTGTCTTAGAACTCTCTCAGTTAGAGGCCGATTGCCCTCACTCATACACTTACATTTATAAAGTTTCAAACCAACTGTACCAATAGTTTATGTCAACTTCCTTTGACTTTTCAGTTTCCTGAGCTATTACCTGTATTTACAGTATTCCTACTCCAACAGGATACGGAATGCTTTTATATATACGGGCATGTTTCTGAAAAAGTGGAACATAATCCACAAAAGCTTACTCAGAAATAAATGTTAGTCTTGAAGGTATCACAACAGTTTTGATTTTGTTTTCATTTTTGTTTTTGTTCCTGTTTATAGCATATTACCCAGATACAGAGATGCCTTTTCTCTCTCATGTGAGACATCTGCTTGCATTACCACAGGAAGACTCTCCGGTTTTCCTTATCCCTGTCCTGCTTCTTGCGTTCCTCCACATGCCATTCTAGACGGTAGGGTTCTGTTGTCCTAGAGCAGTGGTTCCCAACCTTGGGTTACTCGGGTGTTCTTGGACTGTAATTCCAGAAGCCATCACCACCAGATGTACTGGTTGGGGTTTCTGGGAATTGCAGTCAAAGAACACTTACTGCATTTTTCGCACCATAAGATGCACTTTCCCCCCACAAAACAGGGGGGTGGAAAGTCTGTGCGTCTTATGGAGCGAAGAAAACAGATTATATTTTCCTGTTTTCTTCTCCTAAAAATTTGGTGCGTCTTATGGAAAGGTGTGTCTTATGGAGCGAAAAATACGGTATGTTACCCAAGGTTGGGAACCACTGCCCAAACGGAAAGAAGCCAGGAAAGCCCAGTTGAAGAATATAAAATTTCTAATTTGGGAACAGTGGGAAATGTGGAGGACCGCAAGTT